ATTATTTATTTTTTCTTTTAAATTTTTTTCCTTCACTTCTGACGCTGGAAGTCTCTGAACTGCGTAAAGTATTTAATTTCCAACAAAACCTCTGAAACGGTATATATTTTCAAGTAGTTTTCAATGTTTCAATCTGATAATAAGCAAAAAATATAAAACTTTCTAAGTGGTGCCTAAGAACCTGTTTTTGATTAACCACCCTAATATATGTACATAGTACCAATGTATCGTAACCTAAAATGCAAAATAACGTAATGTTACATTTCGTAAGATTACAGGCATAGGAAAAACGATATAATTGAAATTGAAAATTGAGTTTTGGTATATATTGGTTATCATACAATAATATTTTGGTTATATATTGGTTATCATACACTCATATTGAAGCAAAGTTTCAGTTTTCGTTATAAAATGGTTATATACTGGTTACTATATCTGACATCGATTTTCGATTTGTTTTTGCTGATACGCGGTTTTGCATTTTGGGTGATGATAGGTACATAAATACTATATATGTATTTATAACAATGCATATAATATAATATTTGGCTGCGACATTTTGGATATTTAAATGTTCCACCTTACGATGCAAGCGCAGGCGAATTTGTGCATAAATTACGGGATCTATGAAATTTAAATAAAACAAACACTCATTTCTATAAATATGAACACTTTTGGTTTCATTTCACTTGTTATTTTTGTTTTTTTTTCACACCCTGACTAGGTTATTTTAAGTTTGCAGGAAATTTGTAATACACAGAATAAAACATCGGAGGTCTTATAAAAATAAAGGTAGTTTTTTTTTTTTTTTTAAGAAATGTGTTTTTCAAGACGAAATGAAACCTATATAATTTAACGTTCTGGCATTTATTCATAAAGATACGGCTTTGCCATTATGTTTTTAAAATGATTTTTTGGCAAGTTACCGACGCGACTAGCTCGATTAAATTCAAGTCGAGAGGCCCAATTTGACACCACTTTTGCAATAATTATGACCGCAAGTCAGCAATAACGAGCCAAAAAACTCTCTCCCAACGTGTTAATCATTTCGGGCTTAATTCCGTAGACAAACGACCTCGAAACACAGTAGTCCAGACAGATCCCACAAATAGTAGTCCAGCTGTGTTTAATCGTACGATCTTGTGGGCCACGCCACAGACCTACGACGCGAAATAAAGCGCTCACCAAGGATTTTCTTCATTAAATTGATTTTTTTGTTGGCTGTAGCACGTACAGGCACGAAAAAATCACTAACCATGGCTCTACAGTGTTCCCCATTGACTGTAACATTATGTCCGATTTCATTTTTCAAGAAATATGAACCAATGACTCCCACTGAACACAGTGAATTGTTCAGGATGTAACGGCGTCTCAATAATGGCTTCATCGTCAATCCAAATACGACAATTTTGTTTACTAAATATACTCTGTACCACTATGTGACTTGTACCGCGTCTAAGAGCATACGCATTTTCGACTAGGGGAAATGTGGTGCGATACTGATTCATGGTTGCTCGAAAAAACCTTGCATATCGACCGAACGTTGGACTAAACGCGCTATGCATCGCGCTAATTGAGCCCTTATTATTGAGTGGTTTGATATGTAATTTTAATACTTTAAGACTGAAGTCTCCTTAAACTCCGAAGCTTCTAGATATCTAAGACAACTTCTTGATAAGGCTCGACAGACGCATAAGAAATCTTCGCTGTACTATTTTAACAATGGATAAAAAGACAGTAGTAATCTGGGCCTCTGAAATAAGAGTACAACGCTAAAGACGGCAATATTTCTTCATTTTCTTTTAGTTCAGTGAATAATATTGATGTTTTCAATAAACTCAATTCGAATTTCGAAAGCAAATATTTCGATTTTTGTTCGAAAAGGACCTAATTTTTCTTTACTTACGAGTCAATCTTTCCAATTTTAGAAAAATATCAAAGCAAACATAGTTTGCTATTAACGATGTTATCACACTGATACATAATAGATATTTGACAATAAGTTCTGTCTAATCTGTGTTAGCTTTTTATATTTTTGAAATAAAAATTTCGTTTTAGAAATCACTTTTGAAGTACAATCTCTTCACAACTGAACGCTTGATTCTCACATGGCTCATGACATTGTAACTGACAATCAAATCTCAATAATAAATTAAGGCAACACAGTGGTTACTTCATCATATTATTATATATTTATAGCTTTCGGATAACATTAAGTTTAGACTTAAAAATACATTTTTTATTTTATTTGTTTAAATTTGTTTTCTAATAAGTTTGACGCTCCATAGATTGCCATATCATATATATGTTTTAATTAAATAAGGTTATGTTAAATGGAGTGTCTGTTGCATTTTACGAAAATATATTTTGATGTCGCAAAGAAACTTTTTTCTTTTGCTTTACAATTTTTTTCCCCATGTCTTTCGGACAGAGCTCGGCGTTGTTTTTTTAATTTTTTTGAAGTATTTTTTACAGCAGAGGTCCGCTGCCGTAGGACAGCAGCTCTTAGCATACGATTCCCTACCGATCTCACCAAACGCATGGCAAAATCTTTGACATAATTTCAAAGCACTTATGTTCGAAACCAATTCGATCAATTTGAGCATGGCGAATGAATGGTGAATGTCGGTGGAGTGATATACCGAAATTTGAGGAATACATCTTTCTCTTGGATTGTCATGGTTTTGTACTTTTCGTATTCAATTATCCCATCAAAAAATTTTACATTTTAAAATTAAGGAAAACAGCTGATGTTGACACTACGAGTGAAAACTCGTATGACAAATTATTGGTTTCGTACCAACGACACAATCTTTTGTTTTTGTATCATTGCTTTCACACTTAACAAAATATTATGGAATTACATGAACTTGAATTTGAAAATTGTATTTATTATAGACGTAAAAATCATAAAAAAATTTAAATATAAATCATACGAGAGTATGCACGCAAACAATTCACTAACTTCTAAAGCATAAGAAATGTCTGCTCCATCACTAGAGCCACACCG